TGGCCAAGGCAGCCAGGGCAGCCAGGGCCCGGGCGGCGCAGCAGCGCTGGCCCCGTGGAGGTCGGCAACCCGCCGTGCGCTGCCGTCGCCCCGCCCCGCCCCGCCCCGCCTTTACATGGCGCCAACAGACTGCTCCGCGGCTCAGCGCCAGCAGAAGGGAGAAGTAAACTGAATGGCTGCGCGATGCTGCGATCTCATAAGCACACCATTTGGCCACTCGGGCATTGCGCGCTTTTGTCCCTGCGGTCTTGTTCTTGTTGTTGGCCTCTATCGGTCTTGTTGTTGTTGTTGTTGTTGTTGTTGTTGTTGTTGTTGTTGACGTTGCCGGAGCAGTCACCTGCCTCTGTTCCGTGACCGAGCGTCGTAGCATCAGCCTAATTCAATAATGCGCTATCAAAAGGTTTGCCCCGCCTGGCTCCGCGCCCCGCCGCCGCGCCCCTCAATCCACCGCAGCCCTGCGACCCCTCCCCTTCCACCCCTCCCCTAATAAGGGCGCCTCCGTAAATCACGAGAGCTGACGGGACAGGCATGATTCTTCTTGGGAGACAGAGGAAAAAGAAGGCGGCGGTGAGGACGACCGAGCAGGAGGAGGAGAAGGAGAGGGAGAGAGGAGGAGAGGGAGAGAGGAGGAGAGAGAGGGAGGAAGAGAGGGAGAGAGGAGGAGAGAAGAGAGGAGGAGAGGGAGAGAGGAGGAGGGGGAGAGAGGAGGGGGAGAGAGGAGGAGAGGGAGGGAGGAAGAGAGGGAGAGAGGAGGAGAGGGAGAGAGGAGGAGAGGGAGGGAGGAAGAGAGGGAGAGAGGAGGAGAGAAGAGAGGAGAGGGAGAGAGGAGGAGAGGGAGAGAGGAGGAGGGGGAGAGAGGAGGAGAGGGAGAGAGGAAGGACATTCTTCTGGCCGTTATGTGGGGCGAATGGAAGGCTTGATTGTCACAGCCGAACGGGGAATTTGCGCCGGAAATAGAGACTTTGTTCTGCTGCTTTCCTGTGCGGTCGCCTCGGGCTGGCCTAGCCTGGCCTCGGCGGCGGTCTGCCCTGCACGGCCCTGCCGTCTGTCCTTGCGGCCTTGCTGCCTTGCTGCCTTGCTGCCTTGCTGCCTTGCGGCCTTGCTGCCTTGCTGCCTTGCTGCCTTGCTGCCTTGCGGCCTTGCGGCCTTGCTGCCTTGCTGCCTTGCTGCCTTGCTGCCTTGCTGCCTTGCTGCCTTGCTGCCTTGCGGCCTTGCTGCCTTGCTGCCTTGCGGCCTTGCTGCCTTGCTTGCCTTGCTGCCTTGCGGCCTTGCTGCCTTGCTGCCTTGCTGCCTTGCTGCCTTGCGGCCTTGCTGCCTTGCTGCCTTGCTGCCTTGCCCTTGCTGCCTTGCGGCCTTGCTGCCTTGCTGCCTTGCGGCCTTGCTGCCTTGCTGCCTTGCGGCCTTGCTGCCTTGCTGCCTTGCTGCCTTGCTGCCTTGCGGCCTTGCTGCCTTGCTGCCTTGCTGCCTTGCCCTTGCTGCCTTGCGGCCTTGCTGCCTTGCTGCCTTGCGGCCTTGCTGCCTTGCTGCCTTGCGGTCGTCGCGGAGGGGATGATACACCGGCCTTGGTGGCCCTGGCGGCCTCGGCGGCCTCGGCGGCCTGGGCCCGTCCCGCGTCATACATTTTCAGATGTTTTAAGGACGGCCTCTTTTTTCCAGTGCGCATGCGCGGCACACACGCAGTCGGCTCGAGGCTGTCAACCGAGATAGAGATGGATGGAGAGCGACCTCTCTCTCTCTATTTCTCTTCTCTCTCCCTCGGACGGCCCGCCAGGCCTCGCATTTTATGAGGAGTCACTCCTCGAAGGAAGGGGAGGGCGGGAAGGTGTTGTGATCTGAGGTGATCTAAGCCCCCAGGGCTCCCCGGGGGCCTCGGTGGAGGAGGCCAAGAGGCCCCGCCCGGTCAGAGGCCGAGGCCGGGGCCGGGACGGAGCGACGGTGCGTTCAAGTGCGGCGGCGAGGCCTTGGGGGAGGACTTGGGGGAGCAAGCCTCGGCGAAGACCTTGCAGTGCAAGGCGGGCTAACAACCTCATTCCTCATAGGGACCGCTACATCCACGGCACTGCCACGCTCGCTTGCCTCGGCCTGCCTCGTCCTGCCTCGTCCTGCCTCGGCCGCCGCGATGCCTCCGCCGTCCCATTTGCCTCTATTTCCGCTTCCGTTCGGCGTCTCTCTCTTTCGCCCATTCCTCGCGGGCTGCGGGCCAATGATTCCGAGCTTCGTCGCTGTCTCTCTCGCACCCCGACGAAACGCCTTCGAGTGAGAGGGAGAAGGAGCGACGAACCACTATTCGGAATGAGCGCGCTGCGATACGACATGCTGGAAACAAACCGGAGCCCCGCCCCGCCCCGCCCCGCTACAAGCGGCACTCTGTCTGGAGTCAACTCGATTTTGCGGGCGGAGACATTCGAGCCACCCATTTTCCCGAAACGCCATGACAGTAAATTGGCAGTTTTCTTCCATTCAATCCATTTTTTTTTAAATTGCGGGGAGGGTTCTTCCTTGTTTTGGGGAGGGGCGGTCGGGGCGGGGGGCGAGTGTCGCAATGCGTTGCAGGAAGGACGACGCGACTTGGGGCTCCTCAAAAAGGGGCGGCGGAGTGGAGCCGCACTGCTGCAGGGGAATCAAAGGCAAGCCTGGCTGGGCAAATAGTGTGGAAATGGAATGCAAATAGTCCGGAAGTCCGGAAGACGCGACTGAAAGCCTGCCGATTTGCCGAAGGCCCCGCCGCGGCACGCCCCCCCCCCGCTCATCTGACGTTTCATTCTCACATAAACACGGAAAGCAATTTAGCGTTGCTTTTTGTTCTTCGCGGTTCTTCATGCCGGGAAGAACCGCGAGGTAGCGCAGCACAGCGGTGCTAACCTGTTGCTATTAAACCGGCCAAAGTGATTCACGGGGCGACTGCCTAATTCCCAGCTCGCCAGCTCGCCTCCGTTATGCCCTGCTCGCGTGACCGCTCTCGGCCGCGCCTTGCTGCGTGCGCCGTGCCGTGCCGTGCCGTGCCGTGCCGTGCCGCGCCGTGCCGCGCCGTGCCGTGCCGCACACCGAGCCCGCTCTGACATTTACCGCGCGAAAGGGTAGCGGCGTACACACAAGGCAGGCGCGCACGGCTCGGCCACGCCGGCGGCGCTGGAGCCGGCAATGACTTTATCATGGTCTCGGACGGCACGGCGACGTCGCGCAGGGCGCGGCAGGGCGCGGCAGGGCACGGCAGGGCGTGGCAGGGCGTGGCAGGGCACGGCAGGGCGTGGCAGGGCGTGGCAGGGCGTGGCAGGGCGTGGCAGGGCGTGGCAGGGCGTGGCAGGGCACGGCAGGGCACGGCAGGGCGTGGCAGGGCGTGGCACGGCGCGGCAGGGCGCGGCAGGGCGTGGCACGGCGTGACACGGCGCCGAGTGCAGCACCGCGTCGTCCTCGGACTCCGCGTCCCCGGACTCGACTTGGCGGATCGTAAACGGAGGTGCAAAAGGTCACGCCGCAGCGCAGAGAGCGCAGCAGTAAAAGAGCTGGCAGCGCGGCGCCTTCATTCGCCGCACGCCGAGCAAGGCGGCCCGGACCGAGCTGGCGACCAAGGCGGCGCCGACCGAGCTGGCGACCAGGGCGGCGACGAGCGCGACCAGGCGTGCAGGTGCCGCCGGGAACTCCCATCCGGTTCCGCCGCTTTGAAGGCCGGCGGCGGGGAGGTGGCCCAGCAAGTGGCGCAGTCCTTCGGTCCTTCGGCCCTTTCGGTCCTTCGCTTGGCGTAATTAGCCAGGGCCTCCAGGGCCAGGCCGGCCAGGCCCGAGGCAGCCAGCCGCCGTCCCCGGCCCCGCCCGGCTTTCGAGGAGGTGGCCCCAAAGCATGTCCCGTCGACGTTTCCGCCATAGAAGGGTTCCAAAGGAGAGGGGCGGAGGAGGGGCGAGTGGGCCGGGCGAGCCTACCGTTCCCCGGTGCGGCGGCATGGGTGACCAAATGAGAAAGATCAGTGGCGTAGAAAAAACGCGGCGGCGGATCCGGTGGGAAAACTCCTCGCGGAATGTAATATTTGAGAAAGGGAAGACAGGGGGTGGGGACCTCTAGGCCTCTATCCCCGCTCGGCTGTCCGTCCGGCCGCTGCGACGTGATACTGGCGCGAGACGTGCGTTCGGAGTGGATCGTCGTGGGCCATTGACGGCTTCCGGATTGAGTCTTGTCGTGTCGTAGTCTCGTCGGACGTACGTCGGAAGAGTGCCGCGTCGTACCCTCCATCCATGTTCGGGCCGCCCGAACTTTTCCCGTGGGTCGAAGAGAATAGATGAACGCCTGTGTCTCTTCGCTTGACTTTGTGACAAGGCACTTGGCACGCCATGTGTACGAGGGATGTCATGGGACCAGTACACCATGCAAACCAGACACCATGGAATTTTCTCATGGTAAAAGGGGCCAAAAATGAGGGGTGTTTTGGACACCATGGGATTTTGCTTCCCATGCAATCCCATGATGTCCCAGGGCCCCAAAATGGGACCCTCCTTCGGCTTTTGGCTGGGTAATGCCAGGGCCTCCAGGGCCAGGCCGGCCAGGCCCGAGGCAGCCAGCCGCCGTCCCCGGCCCCGCCCGGCTTTCGAGGAGGTGGCCTCCAAAGCATGTCTCCGTCGACGTTCCGCCCATACAGAAGGGTTCCAAAGGAAGAGGGAGCGGAGGGAGGGGCGAGTGGGCCGGGCGAGCCATACCGTTCCCCGGTGCCGTTGACCAAATGAGAAAGATCAGTGGCGTAGAAAAAAACGCGGTGGCGGATCCGGCGGGGAAAACCTGCCTCGCGGGGAAATGTAATATTTGAGAAAGGGAAGACCAGGGGGTGGGGGAGACCTCTAGGCCTCTATCCCCGCCTCGGCTGTCCGTCCGGCCGGGCTGCGCGTGATACTGGGCGAGACGAGAGGGTGCGTTCGGCAGTGGGCTCGTCGTGGGCCATTGACGGCTTCCGCGAATTTGAGTCTTGTCGTGTCGTAGTCTCGTCGGACGTCGTCGGAAAGGTGCCAGCGTCGTACCTCTGTCGCGTATCCAATGTGCGGCCGGCCAAGAACGTACCTGCAACAAGAAAGAGTAGAATTAATATTTATGCTCTGTAGGAGGACCCTCTTTGGGTTCTTGCCACCCTTAGCAGCAATGCGCTGTTTCCGTGTCGATTTGTTTTCAAATCGGCCTCTGTATCTGTGTTGCCGGGTGTTGTGAAAGGTGTGCTGTTTGTGCGTGCGCCTGTGTGTGCGAGGGAAAGGGAGAGAGAGAAGAGAGAGAGAGAGAGAGAGAGAGAGAGAGAGAGAGAGAGAGAGAGAGAGAGAGAGAGAGAGAGAGAGAGAGAGAGAGAGCGTGAAAGGGGCGGGGTGGATAGAAGAGGCCAAACGACACGGGGCGGTGCGGTTCTGTTTTCGGTTTCGCAACGATTCATCACCCCCTTCCCTCTGCCCCCTTCCTCCGCCCGCCCCTGTCTCGGATCCTTTCCGACGCCGCCAGCCAGCCCCGCCAGCCCCGCCGGCTCAGAGCACGTTGTCGCCAGGACAGCCCTTTGTGGCCACACATTCCGGCAAGGGGTGCCCCGAGCAGGTGCATGTGCGTGCGTGTGCGTGAGTATGTATCCGTTATAGTGTTCTTTCCAAGTGCGTGCGTGGCGTGCACGCGAGAAGGCGAAAACAATCAAAAGAATGTCCCCACCGATTAACATTTTCATGAAAGCTGGTGGCGGTGCCGGTCTCCCCACTGCAGGGGCTGTCGTCACGCCGTCGGGCTGGCTGCGCTCTGCTCGCTCTGCTCGCTCTGCTTGGCTCTGCTTGGCTCTGCTTCTGTTTTGATTGCCGGGGCCGCCGCCGTGCCGCCGCGCCGCGCCCACCGAGAGTGGTGGCTCAACTTCCCCCACAAATCCACCACCCCATTTCACACCGAGCCTACTTTCACCGGGCGACCCGGGCGGGGCCCGATGCCTGAACCCCCACGCCCCCGCGCCCGCGCCCACCACGGCCGGGCCACCCCACCCCGCCCCACCACCAGGCCCCCCAGGCCCCCCGGGCCCCCCGGTCGTCGTGCTGTTATGCGACTTCAGGCCGACGTCAGCTGTTTTCGGACAGCCCCGTTGTCGTCGTCGCCGGCACTGCCGGCACGAAATGCAGTTATGCTCCGCTTTGCCTGGCTTTGGCTGGCTTTGGCTGGCTTTGCCTCACAGAGGTAGGCAGCCACGTGTTGTCGGCGCCATCGAACCGGTGTCCGTCCATCTGCCTGCATGTCCGATGGTCTGTCTGTCCTTCAGGTGTCTATCAGTGCTGTGTGTCCGCTCCTGTCAGTTCGACGATGATCATGCAGAGAAGGTAAACTGTGGGGCGACAGATGGGAAAACACGCGCAACTTAACGTCACGCCCATCCTAGCCGCCACTGCCTCGCCACTGCCCCAGCCCCGCGGGCGGGCTCGCAACGAGCTCGCTTGCCCTCTCTTCTCTCTCTCTCTCTCTCTCTCTCTCTTACACACACGGCCCACACCATACACGCTCGCCAAGAGTACACAAGCCGCAACAAAAACACACACACTCACACAGAGAGACTCGTTCATATTTGAGAATCGCGTTAGCCAGTACATAGACTGCTCAATCGTCCAGCGCGCCGCTCTGAGGCTCTGAGGCACGACGGAGGGGCTGGCTGGGGCTGGCCAGCCTGGCGAGCACACTCAGACGGAAAACGTCTCTGCCACGCCACGCCGCCCAGCTCGCGATCACAGAATCGCTGTGTCGATGTGGCGGCCCGGCGGCGCGGCCCCGGCGGAGCACAGTGGGCTAGACGACCGGTGGAGGCGGCCAAAACTCAAGACGCTTTTTGAGCTCCAGAGACGGTAAATGGGACTCGAACCGAACGTGTGACCCCACCAATGGATAGCTCTCCGAACGAGGAATCCATTGATGGGGTCACACGTTCGGTTCGAATACCATTCAGCGACTCTGGAGCTCAAAACGCGTCTAGAGTTTTGGCCGCCTCCACGGTCTTCTGGCCCACTGTGCAGAGGGGGCCCGGCCGGCGTGAAGGCCCGGACCATCGCGACGACGCGAGAGCGCTCCGAGAAACAGATACCTCCAATCCCGGCTGTCATGAGGTAGCCCGCAGCCCTGGGGGTCCGGGGTAACAGGGAACAGCCGACTCGAGCAGCACACTGCAGAGAAAGTCCGGAGGGCGAGGGGAAAACGTTACGGATCGAATGAGGCTTGACTGACAGCTTGATTCATCGGAGAAAAAATTGAAGGGCGGGAAGTGAACTACCTTAGCCTCCGCGACCTCGATGTAATCTTGGCCACTCGCCAGCGGTTCGATCCTCGGTCGATATTCACGTTGGCTCTGTTACACGGCCAGCACCGCCGTCCGAACAAAGAAAGCTGCGTGTTAGTGACTCACTTTTATGGAGCGCTGGGCCTCTGACCTGGAAACCATTCATCGTGGATACTCGACGACAGTTAAACGTCCACATATACCCTCGGTCGATATTACATTGCTGCATGATGGGCTACACCGTTAAAACGAGTAATAAAATGAACAAAGGGAGAATCATGCAAGGAAAATGTAGCTCCGAGCATCCGAGGTGACCATGCCACGGCCCCGTGGAACCATGTACAAATGCTGAATACCTGTAATCACAGGTAATCACATCCTTGACAATTACGACATTTTCAAGTTTACATTTTCAATTTCCTTTTAACGTTAAAACGATAAAAATGAAAAGGGATGAATTCATGCAAGGGAAAATGCTACTCCGGCATCAATGTTGGACTCCGAACACAGGTCCTCCATGCCCGAAGTGGGCACATTCACACTTTCGACGGCAGTCGTTTATGGCTCGCGGTCGGTCCCTGCGGAGGTGGCGGCCGAGCCACCCCGGGAGGGGTGGAATTCGGAGTGTCAGCAGGGGGCAGCGTCCGCGCCGCCTTCACCGGCACGTTGCCGCCACCCCCACCACACCCCCTCCTGGGCGATCCTGGAAAAGGGGCAGCGCCTTCTCGGAAGCGGCGGCCGATTCTTGGAAGGTCCGCGCCGACGCCACGGCGCCACGGCCTTGACGGCCTTGACGGCCACGGGGCGCCCCGTCGGGAGCCTCGCAGTAATTACCCCTTTCCATGGCGGCGCAGCCGTCACCCTGGCCATGAAGGCCCGCCATGGAGGCCCAGCCCGGGCCGGGCCCGGTCGAGGGCCTACGCCCCCATTGTCCCCCTGTTGCTGGTGCCGGGCAATCGCGGCGACCCCGGCCCGGCCCGCCGCGGCCCGCCGTCCCAGACAACCCGACCCGTGTCCTCATCCCTTGTCAATCCAGCCCCTCGCCCCCTACCCCCTCCACCGCGCTGCTGCAGTGCGGTGCCGTGGCGGTGCCGTCCAACTATTCGGCGCGAGAATTATTCAAACGGGGAGGCGGAGGATCGCTCTCTCCGCACCGCTCCACGCCACTCCACGCCGCGCCGCCACCGTCGCGACGGCGCAATCATGACTCGAGTGCAAAAAGAGAGGCGAGAGGGAGGGGCGTGGGCGGGCGTGAGATGAAGAGCAACTTCCTGCGTGCGGCGCCGAGGCCGCCGGCGGCGGCGGTGCTGGTGGCGGCGCCGTTGACCACGGCGGAAGGCCCGCGGTCGTTGCGGTGTGCGCGAGGTGTCTGCCAGCCCCACCAGCCCCGCCGGCCCCGCCGGCCGAGACCCGCAGGCAGCATCCATGGAAGCAGGGGCCGGTACTTCCGGCCGCTTCCGCCAGTCCTCACAGACTTGTGATTTATTCGTCCGCCTGGTCGCGGCCGCCGTGGGCGAGGCCCTGTCCGTGGCCGAGGCCCTGCCCGTCCGAGGCCCTGTCCGTGGGCGAGGCCCTGCCCGTGTCCGAGGCCCTGCCCGTCCGAGGTCCTGTCCGTGGCTGAGGCCCTGCCCGTCGTCAGAGCGGCGGGCGGCGGCAGAGTGATGGTCCGTGGCCGGGGCCGGAAGGCTGGCAGGAAGCGGCCCGACGATTAGCCGGCCGCCCATCGGTCCACTGGCTTCGCAGCTTCGCAGCCGCTAGATTCGATAAATCGTTTACAGTGTGCGACCAACCGCGCATCACGCATCGCGTGGCGCGGCGAGCGCCTGCGATAGAGCGGGTAGGCAACCCGGTACACTGCTAGGCGCGGCCGGCCGCTGGGTGGCCTACGCTGCAGGCGTTTTTTCTCGAACTGCCCGGGACTGACTCTGCTGCGTCCGGCGAACTCAAGCGGCTCCAGGCTCCAGTGGAGGAGTCATTTGGCGGGTATTCATAGCACGGCCGGCATGCCTGGCGGTGCCTGGTTGCCTGGCGTACGTACGGAGTACGGCACGGCGGGGCCGAGGGCGCTCTGCTCGCCGGAGTGGCTGGAAGTAAGCATCAAGGGCTAGATGGTATCGCAGGGGTCGGATAGCTTGGCGTTCACTGGCCCGGCAAAGGCCGATGCCAGGCAGGAGGGGGAAAAACTCTGCAGCCCCTACCCTCACTCCCCCCCCCCCCACTCCTTCCCTCCGCCCCCGGCCATCCGCGCTCGCGCGCCGGATATCGGAGATGACTTAACATGTTGCTGCGCGCTGCGCGCTCTCGGCCCAACCACGCGCATGACGTAAGCAGAGCCATCCAATAACCCGAAACGGCGCATACACCACGCACGCGCATGCGTGGGTGTGCGTGCGCGCGCGCGCTGTGAGCCTACTCGTATTCGGGAGAGTTGCATACATCCACCGCGCCGTAAGCACCACAGCTCCGCCCGCCAGCCCCAGCAACCCTTGCAGCCCCTTACCCCCGTTGGCCCGCGTCCAAAAGGGGTGCCTGCTTTACAGGGGGTCGCCCGACCTAGCCGCTTGTCGAAGCCCCTTCACGCCCCTGCCCCTCCCCTCCCGCGTCCCCCTCCCATCCCCGTCCGTGCTCTCAAGTGACGGCCATAATTTCATTTGCCTGTTCGACGCGCCTGCATCGGGGATGGTGTGGCTGATGTGGTCGGCGTGCGGGTGCGGCTGGCGCGCGCCGGGAGTACAAAGTTCTTGGCTTCCTTCTGGCCGCTTCTGGCGCGGCTGGGACTCGGAGTGCC